CCCCAAAACCCCAAAACCCCAAAACCCCAAAACCCCAAAACCCCTCAAGTTAGCCAATATTGTAAATAACTTGTAAATAATTTATTCAAATAAAATTCTTCGGAAAATATGGAAAAGAGAATCGACCAGCTTGAAAAAGACATCAATGAGGTCTTCCAATGGAAGAGCGCTATTCTTCCAATAGTACAACTTGTCAATTCCAACCAACAAGGTGATATAGCCATATGATTATGTAGACTTTTCAGAAGTATTAAAATAATGAAATATATGGAACCATAGTTGCAAGAGTAACCTTGGAAATCACTTACTTATATAGTATGACCTAGACAGACTTCCAGCCTCAGTTGAGACCTTGGAGAAATAAGACAGGCAGATTGGCCGGATCAGTTGATTTTATCAATATTGGTACTTTAGAATAACTCAATAATCTTATAGAACTTGAGAAGAAAGCTACCCTCAGTGATTTTGTAGACTTCAAAGAAAGAATCACAAATTATTACTTGCCAAGAGCAGAGGCAGAGGAATTTGCTACCCAAACCACTGTCTTAAGACTTGACGATAAAGTTCATTCATTCAAAGCAGATTATCTTTCTCGTAAAGGTAGTTTTGCACAATATTTAATTCCATATAGAATTTAGTGACAGGATGATAGAATTTAGAAACCAAAGTGAGAAACTATACTGCTCTAAGAGTATTATTTCTCAAGATATAAATCGAATAATGACGAATCTCCCAAAACTTGATAATGAGATCAAGAATCTCTCTGAGAAAAGTGAAAAATTAAATACATCTGTTCTCAATCAAAAAGACACTTTGAAGAAGATAAACCAAGAGTTGAGTTCAAAACTGGATATCAGCTACAAGTAAATTTCCCTTCTATATCCTTTAGAGTGGAGGTTGACGAAAATCTTGCAAAATTTTGAAAGTACCAGCACATAAAAGATCTCAAAACAGAAGTGAATCGTTCCATCTCTAAATTTGTAGCGAATTGGCTATTTTACATCCTATAGAAGGAAAATATTCAAAAATTCAAGACCTATATCACTGGCTTTGCAAAGGATATCAAGAACAGTAAGGAGATCATCCAAAGATTTGACGAACTTATCTGTGATAAAGCATCAAAATTTGAACTTAAGAATTCAGTCGCCTCCATAGTAATGTGCAGCTTGGCTTACATTTAGGAAAACCTGAGTAAAGAAATACAGAAAATCCAGACTACTGTGGATGAAGATCAAACTTCAGAGGAAATCCAGGAGATTTACTCCCAATTAAAGACTCTTAAGAACGAAGCATCTGGTTTTCAGTCTTCAATAGCTACAAAATTCGACTCTTCAGTGGAGTCCTTCTCACTTCAATTAGAACAAAATATGATGAAATTTATTGATGAGAATTGAGTGACTCACAAGATAGTTGAGAATATAAAAGATAGTATCTCCCTCAAAGCTGACGAGAAGAAGTCAAGTAAGGTTACCAAGACTTTGCTGAAGCAAATCAGCATGCTCAGTGTCATTTTGGTAGAGAAACTCAGAATAGAGTCCATTGAGAAAGAAGAATCAGAAATTTCTAAAAATAAGAAGCAGCAATATCTACTGAAGCAGTCTATTTCTCTGCAAAGATGGATAGATCAGTTTCAGAATTTTGAAAATGGCAATATAAGTCAATTCGTCAGAGGAAAGCATAACATAACTTCTTTATCAATGGCTCCTAAAGGACTTGAAGAATTAAAAATGGCAGTTGATGGAGAGATTGATAATGTAACTGCGAGCTTCGCATCGAAGATTAAGTCTAGGTCCAAATCAAAAGTCTCTAGTCCAAGAGATGAAAATAATTCAAAGAATGATAGATTGTTTATCTCTTCAATCACTCCTAACATGGATAGAAAACATGGTACTTATTTTGGCAACAGAGCTATTTCAAAGAGATTTAGTATTGGTGAAGAAGACTCATATTACCCTAAAATCTCTCAAAGAGAGCTGATGAACAAAAGTGAAAGTGGTACTTGTAAGCTCATCATCTTCTTATTTAGCAATGTACATAAGTCGTAAGAAAAGGATAGCAACTACAGATACTATAAAAACTTCTTTTCAGAAAATTAAACAGGTGATAAAGAAGAAGCCACAGTTGAACATAACTTTAAACAAAATGTATTATAGCCATGACAAAGACAGTGCCACTCGTATAAACTGATAACTGAGCTTAAAAGCTAAATTTCAACACTGATTCTTAAATAAGGGGTTTTGGGGTTTTGGGGTTTTGGGGTTTTGGGG